ATACCACTTCGTATCAAATTTTTAACGCCTGTTTTTCACTTGCTTACGACAAAAGATAAAATCAAATCTATCTTATCTCATTTAAAGAAGTACAAGTACAATCACTTAAAAGAATCGAAACAAATGCAATGACTACAAAATATTTTTAACTAACTTTAATATTAAAAATTAATTGTTTTATTTTTATTCTAAGTAATACAAATTTTATTTAGTTTATTAGATAACACAATAATAACAGTCTATCCTAATTCCCTCTCTAACATGACTTGTAAGATAAAACAGTAACTGCAAGAGCAGAAAATTACTGACGGATAAAACAAGCCTGCCACATACCATAGTACTCTGACCAAAAAATGTTGTAGAATAGACACTCTCTTAAGCTTAATAAGGAAACCTGAGAAACCTTGCTGAAAATCCTAAAACTGACACTTCCAAATCAGCAAATTAGAAAAATGACTACAAACTTGTAATGCCCCTTTCCGACTCTCTCTCTTTCTCTCTCTCTTTCTCTATTAAAAAAGTTAAGTCGTTAAAATATTTTAGTGATCGACACTAGAAGTCATCACATGCACGCAGAGGCACTTAGTGATTAACATCCCAAGTCATCAGAAGTACACAGGAAAACTTTCAGCAGTCATCATAAACAGATCAAGGCAGCTAAGTATAAAGGAAACTGCATCAACAATTTTTTTTTCTTATACCTATCTATACACTGCTATATTAGTTTATATAAATACTTATATCAAACTATATACATATATATAAATTTCCCAACCAAACCTCACATAAACGTGAATACGTTTATGTACTGCCAACTAAATCTCAGAGGCGTGAATACGTTTATGTCCCTTTTTTCATAGGCGTGAATACGTTTATATTTCTTCTCTCATAGGCGTAAATACGTTTATATTCCTTCCCTCATAGGCGTGAATACGTTTATTTTCCTTTTTTTTTTAAATCGTGAATAAATATATTTTACCCCGCTAAGTAGTAGTAGTGAAAAATCATATTATACAACATTGTTAGACTTAAGAAATACAACTGATAAATAAACATTTAAAAATTAATATTTAAACACTAAAATTTATTGTCACGACCCAGGACAAACCAGTGAATTCACCCCAGGAAAAGAACGAGCAAAACTGGTCGTTACAATTGGATTACAGACCTAGGCCACTATCAATACAAAAAGACTGTTATAGTTTCCATTGGAACCATTCTGTTTGGATAGAGAGCATTGAGAAGACGAAATAAATCCTCCAATTACTAAAGACCCTTTCCGACTCTTCCATTGAAAAAGTTAAGTCGTTAAAATATTTCAACTTTATAAGGTTGTAGGTTGTAGAGGTCACTGTCAACCTAATAAGACTGTTATAGTTTCTATTGGAAACATTCGGGTTTGTTAAAAAGCATTGAAAAGGTGAGATAAATCCTCCAATGCTATCAGTTTAGCAACGCTTCAGTGCTGAACTCACCGTGAGTTTATTTCAGACCTAGTAACTTTTACGTTAGATTATAATAGTACTAACATGTGTGTAAAAAATATATATAAAAAATTAAGAATGTGTTCAATTTTAACAATCGTTAAATATAAAAAGAAGTAAATAATAAAAACTTATTATTTATGGCAACTAGTTTCTTGAGTTAAATTTTTAGCAATTTTATTATATTATATACAAATATATGTGTATATAATAATAATATATATATCTAATATATGTATAAACATTTATTATATTATTAAATACAGTCCTATGAAGCAAGTGATTTATTCTATCAAAAGTTTTCGATCGCTTCAACTTTTTAAGCGAGTGTCTGGGTCTGGGTGTCTGGGTTTAACAGGTGTGGAAGCTTCGTCATTGGTGTCGGTTCCATATGTGATTCAGAGAACCTTTTTTTCTTCTTTGACTCGGAATTTTGAGATTCCTATATATGTCAGTTAATTTCAAATTGTTGTATTATATTTCTGCTAGTCTTACTATTGCATGTCCAGATCGGAACACCGTAGCACTAAGTAGGTTTGAGAAGTTGTTTAAAGACGAATAGCTTGTTATATTGGAATAAAGATAATTAACTGCATATAAGCCAGCATATATTTTGATACTTCATATCTAACTATTATATAAAGATAATTGTCTTTATTATTTTTAATTATTTGAATTTTTGGCTGACCACACCGCTGTTTCGAGTATTACCAAATACCCAACATTAGTGCATTTAGAATTATTTCTTATATTTAATTATTTGTAAATAATTTTTTGAGACTGCAAGTTCCAAGAGTTAAACTTGTGCCCTACCAAATTTGAAGCTCAGAGTCAGTGTTCATTAGCCAACTAACCCAAAGCCGTACTTGACTTTGATGTTCGCACTTCGAATTTTTGTTTATTTGCTGTGGAAGTTCATTAACAAATTCACTTGCCGTTTTATATAAGAATGAAATCACACACCAGTTGTAAAATAATTGCATTAATTAATTATATTTTTATTTTTAATTGTTAAATTTCAATACTATGAATTTATTACTTTTTCTTGAGTATAGAACCTAATCTAGAAATGTAATAAGGAGAAAAACATGCTAATGTTACTCTACGATTTGCTCAAATGAAATTAGAAAGGTGTATGAATATTTCTATTTATATTTTATTCCATATTATTTTTATATTAAATTGATTTCAAATGTTCGTTTTGACAAAAGAAACTAAATTCTTAATATAAACTATTGATTTCAATAGAGAAGTTTTTATCAAACAGTAATGAAATTGCAACAAAAATTCATTTTTATGTAAGTAAATAAGTATTTAAATTTAATTTTTGTTGATTTAATTAATTTCTTCAAAAATAATAGTTATTAGGTAAGTTACGTATTTTCAAGAAATATAAAGAAATGTATTTATTTATGAAGTGAATTCCTTGGTCTAAGAAATGAATTAAGCCCCATGAGGCGAAAAAGTGAATTTTTAATAGTACCAACATACAGCAACCCTAAAACAACTTTACTTTCTAGTTCATTAAATGTTTATTCATTTAATGTGTAATATATTTTTTAATATAGTGGATTGACCTTAATAGTCTGTCATTGCTTTATATATATAATATTTCCTGAACATTTTGCAATTCTTTCCATTATTTGCCGATTAACATTATTATCAATGAATCGTCAATATGGCTAAGTCATCAGCTTAATACTATATATGGTGACAAATTCCTGAAGGTTTTCAAAATTTTTTCCTTTATTTGCTGATTAACATTATTATCAGAGATCGTATGGCTAAACCAACAAATTAATACTATATATACTAATAAAATGTCTATAATGCTGTTTTAGTATTAGTTTTATCAACATTTTCATAAAGTGTTTTTATTGTAAAATACCGTCAGTTAACATAATATGTTTTTCAGTTATATTATTATTCAACAAAATTTTATTATTTTTATTATTTAATTGAATTTTTGGCTGACCATACAGCTATTTCGAGTATTGGCATCAGTGGTGTTAGAATTATTTCTTATATTTAATAAATCGTAAATATTTTCTTGAAAGTGAGAGTACCAAGAATTAAACTCATGCCCTGTTAAACTTAAAGCTCAGAGTCAGTGCTCATTATCCAACTAACCAAAGTAAGTACTTGACTTGTATGTATATAGTTATATATATATATATATATACTCTATTCAGTCTTTCATGCGAAATTTTAGTATTTTGACTAATATTTTGGACTAAGAGCTTTCTATCATTTGAGGCATTTAAGGGTCTTTAGATATTTATATTATTTAATTAATGGAAAATTTTAGTATTGACTAATATTCATAATGAACAACTTGTAAGTCGTTTTTCGTTTTTTTTTTTGGACCACCAAAGGCTTGATTTTAGCAGGGATATCATGTAGTAACAAAACACTCCATACACTCTTACACATATTTCCTCTTTTAAGTGAAATTTTAGTATTTTAATTAATAATCACAATACTTATAATACATATAGATATTATAGGTATTCAAAAGTTTTTTTGTCGTTTTGGTCTAAGGACTTATCTTCACCATTTATATCTTTAAATTAGAACGTATACTGTACACTTTAACATAAACTAGTATGTGAAGTAGTATGTAGTATGTGAAGTTTTAATATATTAATTAATATTCATAATGGACCACCTTACGTTTTTTTTTCGTTGTTTTGGACTAAGGACTCAACTTCACCATTTATAATATTGAGTTTGTTTCGTAACTCTGTATAACTCTCTGTATAACGCTCTGTATAACTTATAGAATTAAATTCAAAAATAGTATTAATAATCCAATGAGATCAATATTATTTATTCGTTTGTGGTTAAACCACTCTGAATACCGGAAAGAGCTTTTGTTGTATTTTTCACCAAAACAAATTGATTCATCATACGCTTGGTTGAGCACTTTTCGCCATGATATGGAAACGATTTCCAACGAGAAGAGAGAAATATTTTATTGATGTTACTTGAGTAAATAATACTCTCTATTAAAATTGATATCATTATTAGATTTATTCAATACTATGCACCCCTACACTATTGCACTCCACATATCAATATAGAAAACGTTTATGGTAGTGCTCCCCCATGTGTGCGATATAGAAAAGTCGGTTACGTTACGTTTTTCCTATCTCTGCTCAATTTGTTTTGAACTGGATTGTTGTTGTTGTTGTTGTTGGCGGTGGTGTTTTCTTGTTTTCGCTTATTTTTACTGCCGCGGGTGTTGCTACTAACAGCTGCATTTGCCGCTGTTATCTGTATCTCAGAGATACTCTATTGTCTTGCAAGATGTATAATGTATAACACGCTCTTTAATTGTTTTTGTTGTCTTACTTTTTATTTGTTATTATTATTTTTTTTTTTTGTTTTGTTTTTGTATTATTCTTAATTGCAAATAAGTTAAATTTAAAAATTTTTATCAATTTCTTTATTTCATTTCATTTTGTTAACGTTTGCTCTTCTTTTGGAATTTGATACCGCCAAACGAGTCGAGAACGTTGTACGCTGCGGTTCGGCATAAATCTTCCAAGTTTATTGAATTGAATCAAGTAGCAAAGATTGAAAGTGCTAAGCAGAGTTAATTTATTTATGCATAAATGCAAAATACTTCAAATAGCTAATAAAAGTGCTCTTAACTCTCTTAACTGAATATGTGAATGAACGAGTTCCAAGCAAAATTTTAATTAATAAATAAAAAAAACTGTTTGAGAAAACAGCAAAATTATTATTGAAAATTATTTGAAATTATTACATCAGTAGAGTTTATTGCAATACTTGGTAAGTCCTTACCTCTAAAAAATAATTTTCGCAAATATTTATATTTTATTTGTAGGATTCGCATTATATTGAAATAATTTTATATAAAGTAATTCTGTCTTTTTACTACGTAAGTCCGAAATGTGCACGCAAGTTTATTAAATTTCGTATGTACACATTTTGGCAAAAATATTTGGTAACTTGATTTTAATAATTTTTTTATCAAGGCAAACAAACAGCTGTGGTATCTGCTAAATATAAACAACAAAAAAATCTGGTATCAGCAAATAAAACTCACATTTTCGTGATAAAACGAATTTGTAACTCTTCAGAAAGCAAATGTTTGGCAACTAACTTAATTACCACTTCTGATAAACGAATAGAGCAATAATATATAATAATTATAAATTCATAATTTAATACTTTAATTAAGATACTTTAAAATTTTTCTAATCAGAATTCGCAAAGCAATTTCCATACTTATTCCGTTTTTTTTATTATTTACTACTTTTATCACTAACATCTGCATTTGAAATGAATCAACAACACAATTCGTTATCAAAATTTAAATAAAAGTAACTAAAAATAAAAATAAGGAAAATTGCAATTGAAATTAACAAATTAAGAAAGGAAATACTTGATGAGCATAAAAGAAGCGAATTCTTATCTTTCATTAAAAAATGAAAATGAAAATTGAAAACATTTTCTGTGTTAATTATCAAAAACGGAATTTTATTCTTATAGAAAAGAAGTATTAAGGAAAGCAATAATAAAAATAATAATACATATTATATATAATATAAATAAAAATAAAGAAGTTAATGTATTTGCTTTGATTACGTAGCAGTGGTCTGGCAATTTTAGTGATTCTAACTTATTCTAAAGTTCTACTAAATTCTTCTAAAGTTCTACCAACTTCTTCTAAAGTTCAACTGACTTCTTCTAAAGTTCTACTGACTTCTTCTAAAGTTCTACTAACTTCACCTAAAGTCCTCCTAACCTCTTCTTAGAAGTTTTGCTAACTTCTCCTAAAACCACCTTTTAGTCTATGCTATACCTTCTGCTCAAAAAGTACTCGGATTTTGTAAATAAAATACACAAATTTACAGGAAAAAGTCGCACGGATCCAGATCTGTCAAATATGGTGCCTCAGCGATGACAGTGGTGCCGTATTTCGTCAAAAAATCGCGTACTACAAGAATTTTCCATTGTAAAAATCGCTAAATGCACTTGCGGTAGTCTAACATTAAGAGCTGCTGTAAACAAACTTATTGACAGATGGCGCAAATTTGTACTATATGTCAAGAAAGGGTGTACCAACATAACAAAAAAAGAAATTTGAAAAAGGTCTATTTCTTAAAGAGTAGTTAACAAACAACAAAATCTGGATACTTTTTGAGCAAAAGGTACATTAAAGCCATCTGAATTCTAGTTCCAGTCCATACATTTTATTTTTATAAACAACTGACAACTACGCAGGAACTAACAAACGTTCGCTTGGTTAGTTATAAAAAAACTGACAAAAATAATTTTATATAAAATTGAACGTTATAAAGTCACTAACTAACTTTAGTTAGTCCCTCTTAATATACGAAAATCACATTATTTTGTGTATATAGTTATAAACAGAATAATAAACGTACCTACGATATTTCTGATCCGTATTCATATTTTACTGTTAGTTATAATTTGGCTTTTTTATAAATATAAATCAGTGAAAACAATTATCCTACTCTGTTCATTAAAACTTTGCAATATCAAATAATTTTCAAATTCTCATAGCTTCAATCTTATTTGGTTACATTTAAAAATGTAAATATTTTAGGCAGCAAAAAGTTTTTGATTTAAATAAATATATTTTGAAATATGTTTTATTTCCAAAAATATTTATTTTGCTCCAAATGCAATAAATTTTTATCTCATACAGTTATAAATATGAAAAGAGGCAGAGAATTTCAATATTTTAAATGTTTTTGAATGAAAGAGATATAACCCTTCACCTAGCTCCTGACTTTAAAAAAACATTAAGAGCCTAACCAAATAAACTTTTGATAGTCGTTTCTATAAAGCACAATTTGAGGCGGGGCTGGGCATTAGAGGGTTAAAATATCACTTAGTAAGCATATTTAAAAAAGTAACGACTGGACGTACGCCATTTATCAGAACAACTCATACGTAGTGATAACAACTCGCTTCGCTTCAGTACGACTTATGGAGATTCAATTCCATGATGGGATAAACCAGATTATTTGGGATGACAACGTTATGGGCTCAGTGCAATCGGCTCAAGTGCATAACCTTAAAAGTCCTTATCTTTATCAGATGTGAGTGTTTTCATTGATTCTAAACATGTTTCATACCCGCGACGTTATCAATTTGATAAAATCACAAGTATTTCGTGATTTGTTTTTTGTTAAGTGATAGGATCCCAAATGATTACATTCAACAGCCAAATGCAACAGCTAAATTCTCTAAATTCATTTTTGTTTTGAGCAGGTGTTCCTCGTAGACGTCGCTTCCATAATATATATATATATGTCTGGAATTAACATTCCCATAACGGGACCGATTCTGGTTATGTTATACGTGACATTTATTAAGTTATATGACCCCAAATATTTAGATTTAAGTTGACAGTAACAACTAAATTGTATACTTTTTACCATCCCGACATTACTGACATTATATTAAAGAACTGGTCTTTGACTCCCGTCTTGTATTTTAAGAGTTAAGTGCTTAGCTGACAAAGTTTTTTTGCATTCCACTTTTGACTGCTTCATAATTTTATCTCCAAAATGTATTTTACATCATATATTATCTTTTTTCTTACTTTAATCCCTACTACTAGTTCCTGTGGTGTAGTCGATTCTAGAAAATAAACTACTTATATGCTTATGCTATTTAACTGGATCATTTAATTTTTAAAAAGCTCCTCGGATAATGCACTTCTGTCATTATATTTAATACATAGAATGGAATGCCGACAACCTGATGCTTTACAAAAGCACTAAATCAAGGTAATATTAGAAGTACATAAATTCAATAATTTTTTAAAGAAGGAGTTTAATTACATTTAGCTATTAATATATTAAGTAGCTTATATTCTCATATTCCATTATAAAAAAAAATCTATCGAAGAAGAATATTCAATTGAAAATGCTTTTAATATATAGAAATTATTGACACACTCATTTACTTATATACTAGTAGTTATCGCATTAAATTTTTTTCTAATTTAATATATATCCCCAATACAATTCGTACTTAAATCTATTCGGAAGTTACACTTGTACGAAATTAATTTGTTTGAAAAATATGGTAATTTTTGGAAATAATATTTTTTCTTTCTAGATTTTTGTTTTCCTTTTATATTTTTTTTATTATCCAGTATCATTTTATCTTCAGAATTTATTATGCATTAGTTTTCTATAATCAAACTATCGACGACTTTTTTCCAGGAAAAGGCACTAATTAAATGTATGAGTAATATTGAATGCGACTACTAGTGTAAACTTATTCATAATGCTTCTATTTCATAAAAAAAATCCCAATTTATTAATTTATTCTATTTATTAAGTTTACTTTAAAATATGTAAATCATCACTTACACCTTTGTAATTAATTCTGGATTGAAATTGTATTACAAAATAACACGATAAAAAATTTTCCCATAACTTTTAGGATAATCCATTATATTTGACTTTTGAAATGGTTTAATATCAAATTAAATTTAATTAAATTCATATATAAGAAATAAAACAATTTTTTTAAGTAGAAAACTACGAACAGTCATAAATTGCAACAACAAAAATTTTATTTTTAATTAATTAAATTTTTGGACTGACCACATGACTGATTGAAGTATTGCCGAAACCCCACTATCTACATCGAAATAGTTCATTTTGATTTATTAGTCAATATATAATTTAATGAATTGCAAGTGCCAGGCTTATGGTTGTCAATATAGTTTAATATAATATTTATTAATATTTGTATTTTATATATATATATTATTTAATATTAATACACATATTTGATTAAATAATAAACAAAAATATTTTCAAAACGAAAAAAGTGAGAACAGCTAAAGTAAGTCATCATATATAACACATAACATGCATATATTATATGGATCACGTATCTATTTTAAATATGCCTGACGACTAAAATAATTCTATAATCGTAATCGATCGTTCCCCAAAATTTATTTATAAGTGTTAACCTAAATATACGAATTGAATTAAAAATTATTCTATTAAAAATGCTTGCTAGTACAAATTTTTGTGATAAAATCAGTTTTCTTCATTCTTATATCTATATTTAATCAAATAATTCTTACAAATTAATGAAAAAAATTTTTTGACTTCTTCATCAAGGCGGGATATTATAATAATTATGTTCCAATCATTAAATTATAAAATCCGTAATTCTTTAAATCTGTTTCTATCTGATGATAAACTATCATTATCACTCTAGTTAATTTTATTCTTCTCAGTTTCTTTTTCCAACGAATTTTTCCTTACGTGCACTGAATGTCCTTTTTTACGAGATCCCTTAGGGTTTCACTTAAAAGCTTACTGATGTCATGCATGGTTTTATTAGCGTACAACTGATCCAATTCTATTTTGTATTTATAAGTGCTCAGAGTCCATCATTAAATGTATATAGTTTACGACTATCTTATTTTTAGTACATGTCTTAAGCATTAACTTATAAATACTTGCATGAGTTGTAGAAGGCATAGGGCAGTATTTCATTTTTCGCATCCGGATACAATGTTAAAGTAAAATTTTCTCATTTTGGGAAGGCTTGATAAAATTGAGGAGTTCATTATTATTGTCCAGATGTTTGCTAAAATTTTTTAATTATATTTTTGTTGCCTTCGGTATACCCACAAATGGTCGAAATGATCCATACTATGTAATTGAAATTTTGGACACACTTTATAGTTGTTGAGTTTACAAGGAATGGACAGCCCAACAAATTATATACGATTTATAAACTAATTAAATAAAAATTCG